GAAGCAACGACAAACTCGCGAAACATCTCAGTGTGGATCCGCTTCGGTCGGGAGTCGACCACAGGAGCACGAAAGAGAACAAACATTCAATCCCTGCATTCAGAGCTAGGAGGAGGAGAGGCGTCACTCCACTGCGTCGGTACGCAATCTTAAAACGCGTCAGGTACATGTGGGGCTGGACCGACCTGCGAATCAACTGCTCCCACCGGGCGGTTGAGAATATTCTGATTCCCGTTTGCTAGCTAAAACCTTGGAGGTTAAAACATACAAAAGCATAATTTTGATTGTGGTTTTGTAAGGACATGGCACTCGGTCCACAGATTCGGGGTGTCTGAGATCAGGGTACTGAGGAGAATATTTACACTCAAGAGGGTTGAAGTGACAGGAGTCTGGAAGAAAGGGTATCTCCTCAGCAATGCCCCAACCAATGACGATAAGATGAGCAGAACATGTAGCATGCATGACAGATACATGAAACTCTTGCAGAAGTTTAGTTTGAAAGCGTAAAACTCACAGGTCATTCGGGAGAAGTGGCTGTGGCTGGGAGGATAATATTAAAATCGGTTTCCTACCTCTGGTGCGCCCACCAAGCGTCTATTCGAAAAGTTTCGCAGGTAACGTTTCTCGATACCACGTTTCGGGTCACCCGGTTACCGGCGTACCAGTCACTAACGAGTGGCTCCATATCTGCTTTCTCCATGGTTGCAGTTGGGGGTAGGAGAGAGACAATAAGGGTGGTCAATAGCCCGAAGAGAATGAATCAGGAAATAAGGGTGAGATTCTAGCAGGGGGTGTAGAAGCGTGTCTTGTAGTGAGGGCGGTTCAGTTTATTATTATCATCATTGCAGTCTTGTACCATGTAACGGGAGGTGGAGGGACCAAAAATTGAGGGTGGCACATTTAAGGGAGTCTTTCTGAAGTGCTGGGCCTCACAACAGTGGCACCAGCCAGAACAGGGAAAGTCAATTTTAGGGCTATTTAGAAGTGAACTCAGGACGGCAGCCTCGTGACAGTATTTCGAAGGCCTGCTAGCGATATCGGTTGTTTACTTCGATATTAAACCCTCAATGATCCCTGCCCTCGAGGTGTCGAGGCAGACATTTTCAAACCACTGTAATTAGCGCCATGGGGCAGTAAAGTTCTTGCTGAGAAGCTGACAGTCGCTATGCCAGCCAAGATATGACCAC